TCTCCAGCGCTGGTGATGTGTCTTTTTAACAAATACTCTGGGACAACTGAGGACACGTGCAAAAAAGACCCTTACTTTCCATGAATCTAAAATGCATTGAAGACTGAAATATAAAATTGAAAGCTTCTTAAAGAAAACGCAGGACAAAATTCCTGCCACCTTGGACTAGGCAAAGATTTCTTAGGTGATCTACAAATGAATATGGACTTCATCAAAGTGAAATCTTGAAAATTAGTGCATGGGTGGTTAAAACAAATTCACGGCCAGAAGAATATATTTGCAAATCTTAGCTCTGATGCAAATAGTATCCAGAATATGTAAAGAACTTTTTACAAAGCAATAATAAGATCTTTTAAAAACTCACTTAAAAATGGCATGGATTTGAGCAGACATTTCACCAAAGAAGATCTTAAACAACAAATAAACAAAACAAACAAACAAACAAAAAATGAATAAAGCATGAAGAGAGCCACCTCTTAAGTCATCAAGGAACTACAATGGAGTAACAGAGAAGTTTCATGTCATATGTGTCATAAAGGCTGCAGTAAAGAAGACTGACAATAGTAGATAGAAATATAAAACAGTATGGGCACTTGGGAAAACAATCTGGGATTCACTATGCAGCTCAGGATAGCCTTGAACTTATGATCTTCTTGCCTCAGCATCCTAAATTCTGGTACTACAGGCATGTAATGCCAAATCCAGGCTGTCAATACATGTAAAGGCTGCCAATTATATAAACTTTAAAGTAAATATTTAAAAAGTTCAACAGTTACTATTAAGTCTAACATTTCCACTTCTAGAAGTGAATGAGGAATGAAAATAATTGCCCACATAATGATTTATACAGAAATGTTCAAAGTCATGTTAGTCAGGGTAGCCCAGACCTGGAAGCAAAGCAAGCCTCCAGCATACATGAACAGGAAATAAGATATGATGCATCTGCAGAATGGAAAACCTGTCAGCAATAAGAAATAGTTGACTTCTGGGGCATACTGACAAACAAACCTCAGAAGCAGGTTAGACAAAAGAAGCTTGACAGTAAAGATTATATATTGCATGATTCCATGTATAGGAATTATCTACAGAGCCAGAAAATATCAGTGGCAGGCTAACAGGGAGAGGAAATTAATTTCAAAAAATGTGACAACTTTTGCACAAAGAAACTATTTCAGTATTGGACCATGGTGACACTTGCAACAAGGTGAAACTCCGCTGGAAACTGCTGCTGTACTCTCATACGGGTGGATTTTATCTGTCCACTGTGCCTCAATAGGTTCTTAAAGATCGTTACCATTGTTTGAGAATGAAACACCTTTTGGGCTGGAGGGATAGTTCAGCCATTAAAGGCTAGACTTACAACAAAAGAGAATAAAACACCGTTAATTAAACCCCCATCACATTTGGCTTCTTAATCAATCTAAGGATTATTCTCACACTAGCATGGGAGTCCTATAATTCCTTTCCTCCATAAAAGAAAACCAGATTTCTTTGGTCTCCATATCACATACTCTCTATGCTGTTAACCCCTTTGCACATTATTTTGGTTTTCCCTCTTTGTAAGACTTCAGAACCTCTTTCTCTTTTTTAAAACTTTATTTATTTGGTGTGTGCATGCCCACACACACTCACATGCTCCTGGAGGCCAGGAAAGAGCATCGGATCCCCCTGGAGCTCTAAGTGGCTGTGAGTCTCCAGATGTGGATGCTGGGAACTGAGCTCTGGTTTTCTGCAAGGGCAGAAAGCATTCCAGCCCCTTCAAAGTCTTCTTTGAAGGGCAGTCTCTGCAGTCTTCAGTGGGAAAGTTGATACTGTGTGCTTATTATATGCCAGGTAATAATTCCTATAATACAGTTATAATCTATTCAATTCAGTTGGTGAAATTTTCCTCCCTTATTAAATAGATCATGAGCATAATATTAGTAAGAAGACAGCAAATACTTGCCGTCATTTCTTATGCTTTTGGTAGATAACCTTTGTTAGGCTTACTACTGCAGTGATGAAACACCATGACCAAAGTGACTCTGGGGAGGAAAGGGTTTATTTGGCATATGCTGCCATATCATTGTCTGTCACTGAAGGAAGTCAGGACAGGAACTCAAGCAGGGCAGGATCCTGGAGGCAGGAGCTAATGCGGAGGTCATGGAAGGGTGCTGTTTACTGGCTTGCTTGCTCCTTATTGCTTACTCAATCTGCTATCTTATATAACCCAGGATCACCAGTAATTTTAAAAAATGTTCTATAGGTTTGCCTACAGCCAGGGGATTCAACAACCTTCTGAAGGCAGTGTGTTGGGAACTCACTATGATTAAAATTAAATTGAACTTCTTGCTTCTGCTAGAGACAAAGATTGCATTAGTTTTGTATCCAAATTACGATGCTTAAAAATACCTGAAGCTGGGCATGGAGCCACCTGGCTTTAATCCCAGCACCCAGAAGGCAGAGGCAGGTGGATCTCTTAAATTCAAGACCAGCCTGCTCTACACAGTTTGTTCTAGACCAACCAGAGCTATACAGTGAGACCCTGCCTTAAAAATATATATAAATATATATTTACATATTTACTCCTTTTCTCACAGACTACTTAGAAAGTCAGGTACTATACTCAGTAATTCATGTTTAATAGATTTTTTAAAATGTTTTTCCTTATGACTTTTATGTATTAAATTCAATTAACTTAAGGTGTGGGTATTCAAAAGGATCCTGCTGAGTTGCCCAGGCTGGCCGTATATTTGCGATGCTCCCGCTTCAACCCCACAAGCATTACCGCACTCACCTGGTGTATTTAATTTTAAATAGTCGAAATCAAAATGTTGTGATTTGTTTTCAGTTGACACTTTTCCAAATTCATAATTTTGTAACCATAGAATTACAAGGGAGAAAGAATTCCTACACAGATCAACCCAACCACACTGTAGTTGCCATGTGGAGCTTCATACATGCCCTTGGTGTGTATGCTAATGCACACACAAAGCCGTGTGGCCATCATGGGCTCCCCATCAGTCTCTCCTCTTTGTTTCAAGCTTGGTTCTCTAAACAATTCTGACATCTGGATTGTTGAGACTCAGTCACAGGAGCGTCCTCTCTAACTCCACTCTAATAAAATAGTACAGGACTGTAACCCACCCGCACCCCTCTGCCCCCCACCCCCTCCATCTCAGTCAGCTTTGTCAGACAGCTTTACTGCCAAAGGAGAAGGAAGCTAAGTGCCAGCCAGCAAAGCCTATTCCACACGCATCGTCCTATTTTTTCTGCAAGTTATGAGTCCTAGAACCTGGCTGAGATCATATGAAACTTTTTGCCCTGCGATTTTAAAGATGAGAACAACATCTGCTGCATTTACTCTCCTCAAAAGAGTTGTTTAATTTACCGTTCCCATGCTTCCTAGAATCTGATAGACCACGCATATGTATACAAACCCCCCTTCTTCTCTCTCTCTCTCTCTCTCTCTCTCTCTCTCTCTCTCTCTCTCTCTCTCTCTCTCTCTCTCTCTCTCTCTCTCTCACACACACACACACACACACACACACACTGAGTGAATAGCAGTACCTTTCACAAAGACTTCTGGTTATGACTTCCTAGTGCTCTAACTAGCTGTCTTGGCAGTAACTGTCCGTTGTTGACTTCTGCCTACCCATCAGCCTTAGCCCAAATGCAACTTCCTGTCATGTCTTCTTAATCCCCTCCACCGAGTCAGGCGTTCCTTCCATGCTATAATATTGATAAGAGCTGCCTGAGGACATTTCCGTATTCATTTCTGGATTCGCCTTAATGGCCACAAGTTCAGTGAGCAGTGGTCGTAAGCCCGCGCTTAGGCAATGCTTGTGAAATGAATGCATAAATGACGAAAACTGGAAACGCAGTTTGTCTCTGCCACCACTGTAACCAGGTGGTTTGGATTGTGTTCATCTGTCTCGAATCGTTTTTTTTTATTTAGCAACTTCACTGAGATGTAACTTGCATAGCATAAAACTCCCTCATTGGGATCTGACGAATGTCTTTCTGCCTCTTACTTGGTATGTGATGGTCACTTTTTTCTGATAGTGAAAATGGAAAGCAATTGAAGGAGTACCCTGCTGAATCCTAACAGAGAATGGGTGCTTGCAGCCCTATTTCCCAGGGCTTGTTCCCCCTCACTCCCCGGCCAAGCAAATTCACGTTTCTAAGCCCGGATCCTGACTTGTAAAATTTCACTAATTCAGTATCTTCGTTGGCCCCTCTCAGGATGAAATTAGATGGCCTGAGGAAAGGGTCCAGCCAGAGATGCAGCACTGTAAAAACAATGTTGGCTCCCTTCATCCTATGCCCCTGCTACACCCGCCTCTCAAACAGCATGTCTGTTCTTTCACCATTTATTCTGAGTAGATTTTTTAAATACCCAACCTGCCTGCTTCCTGAGCCAGCTCATTCTGTGCTTTAGCGTTCCTGATACAGATCTGGTCCCTCCTGCAGCATAAGCCTTTTCTTTCCATCTCTTGAATGTGCCTATTAGAAAGAGCACATCCCGTCCGACATCATTAGAGCACCATGGCGTCCATACTTGCAATTCCCTTTTCTTCTTTGCTGAAAGTATTGTAAACCAGAATCTTATTATCCCAAGCCTCTGTTCTCCGAAAAGTCTTTTCCAAAAAAAAAAAAAAAAGCTTTTTTCTCTTTAAGCCTCTTGTTTCAAAATCCCCTATCTTTGCTCTGCTTCTAACGTCTTCGACTGGCTGTATTCTCTGTGTCTTGTATTACAGTCCCTACTTGTACCGCTTCCCCACAACCCACCGGTCCTTCCCCGGGGAGTCACATTACATATTACATCAACATCACTAATGCACTGTCGGTTACATATCAGATGTTTTATTCTAGGCAGTCCACTAAAAAAAAAATGAGCATGGACACAGGTTCTATTTATCATGGAGGACAAATTGTCTGAGGTTAAGTACAAATTGTTCCGAGATGGGGGGACGACAAATATCTATATTCATATTAAATATCTATGTATCTATATATACCTGTTGATTTTGTGCTTTTTCTCAACGCTTCAGAGACCCTCGAACTTTGGAGTGATTAAGACGGTAGAGGATGAGTTTCCAGAAATTTCACCCCGAATTAAAAGCTCCATCAAAAATGCTGCTCCGTGCGCTCAAGTAACACCCACCAACAAAAACCATCTCCACAACCACCAGATTATCTCACCGGCGAGTGAGATTGCAAGGTTTGGGGGCTCGGCTGCACCACTCTGAGTGGTGCATGGGGGTGTTCGAGGCCGCTTGGCCCGCTTCCTCGCCTTGGTTCTGCCCCTGTCTCCCCTGCTCAGGCTTCCCCAGTGCGTCAGGCCGGCGCTTTATAGGTGCAGCCTGGGCGGCTCCGTCGGCTGTTTTTTTCGGCTTCTTCTGGTTGTGGTTGCTTTTGCAGTCCGCGAAGATGCAGCTCAAGCCAATGGAGATTAACCCCGAGGTAAACGTAGCTGCTGGGCCTCCGTGGGAGCGCAGGGCCGGGCCTTAGCTCCGGCCAGAGAGTCGAGTCGGATCGCGTTATTTTATTTTTATTTTTCTGCATTTGCCTTTCAGATGCTGAACAAAGTGAGTGGCATGGTGCGCAGTCTCTGTCCTTTTCCCCCGGGAGCATCACCGGAGACGCCCAGCCGGCCCCGCCCTGCGCAATGGAGGTGGCCGGGCTGGGGCGCCCTGCTGGGATGTCTTTTCTGCCCTGAGTTATTTAGAGGTTGGGGGTGACTGACAGATCGATCAAAGGGGGTTGGTGGAGGATGCACCCGCACGGGAGCGAGCTCGGGGAACAACTCTCGAGGGCGTGGCGACTGCCTAGCTGACTCTAGTCCGAGGGCTTCACGGGAGCCACGTGTGGGTCGAGCTTTGTGCTGTGTCACTGCGTGGCCCGGAGGGTGGGACGTCACGGAGGCTCCTCCCAGACTCGGGTGGGGAGGTGTGTGTGTGTGTGTGTGTGTGTGTGTGTTTTGCGGGCGGGGGAGGGGGCAGGGGGTGCCCATGTTGACCCCGCCACCCAGCAGGTGCCCATCACTCGTCTGGCTGCCCTGTCTCCTCTCTGCAGGTGTTGGCCAGACTGGGGGTCGCCGGCCAGTGGCGCTTCGCGGATGTGCTAGGACTGGAGGAGGAGACTCTGGGCTCAGTGCCATCCCCTGCCTGCGCGCTGCTGCTGCTGTTTCCCCTCACGGCCCAGGTAGGGTGAGGTCCGTGATGGGCGGATCTCAGACGATACACCGTGCTATGGGATGCCCTCTTAACCCGCACAGTCCCCCCTCCTTTCCCTAGGGTAGGGAATAAAGATTCCACCTCCTAGGATGGGAGGAGGCGTTTTCATGGTACCTGTTCATTGTAATGGCCGTTATTGGGTATTTGCCTTAAATTTGGAAGAGAAGGATTAAGTATATTTTTCCAGTTACCCTTTATTTTTCTGAGCTTTTTTTCCACTTGGGGGTGGCTGTTTCCTTTTAAGGCCACTGTTTGGTTCTCGGACTCCCACTTAGCTGTAAATTGAAGAGAGCCTGGCTTGCTTGAGTCAAAAGGTTCCCTTAATTTATCACCTCCATCTGCTTTTCTGGTGGATTCGGGACTCTTCTCCTCCCCATACCCCCCACAGCAGGCACACTGTTGAACCTGGGTTTAAAAGCTGAATCATGGGTGCACAGACTCTTTTCAGCAGCTGTCTCTACCTCTCTGACCTTGTGGCTGAATGAAGCAGGTCGTTAGCACAGTCACGGAGACACCTTTTCTTTTTCTGACAAGGTCTTCCATTGTCCAGTGTTTGGGGATATATGGGACTTAGACAGAACGTCAGACATAAAAACAAAACTGTGGGATATGTGTTGTCTTCAGCATGTAGAGTCCCCGTAAATCATGCCGTCATCTGTCTCCTGTTGCGGTCAGCTGCCCTGCAGATTTAAGAGGCGATGGAGTGGGCAAAAACTTGGAGTCATCAGCATTTCCGGCATTACTCTAAATGGGATGAGGTTAATTAAATACCATCCTTAGGGCAGGTGCTCTAGAAGCATTCTTGACCAAAACTAAGCTGTAGGGAAAGGTCAGGCCTTCCTCCTAGCAAATGGTCTATTAAGTTCAAATGTAGTTTGGAAGGCCTCGGTGACATATTTGATAGTTGAAGCTTTATTGCAACCATAGCATGTCAGGCCGGCTTCCCTGGCATGCAAAGCTGTGTCCCCTCCACTGGAATGGTTCCTGGGGCAGTTCTAGACAGGCACCATGATGACTTGGAGGTTTTGAGCAGAGCTCAGGCAAGGCCTCTGGGAGGCAGTGGCGCAGCCTATTGGCTTTCAACTGCTCACTGGTCTCGTTGTGCAGGCTCCAGTGGGCCTTTTTAGAGAACATTCCAGTCTGGCTGGCTGGCTGCTGTTTTGTCCTTTATCTGCAGTCCAGGCTGCCCCATGTATTGAATGCCTAGTCTGAATACATAGTGGGTAAAACACTGAGGAATTTTTAATGGAAAATGAAACTTAGTTCGGCTTCCATCCACAAGCTAATTTAGGAAACATTAAAATCCTCACTCAGGTTTTGTTGGGGGAAACCCTAAATGGACATCGTAATTCGTTTTGTGAAATTGTTACAGAAGTATCTCCATGCAAGAGCCCAAACAACTAACGGGGTGTTGCTAGTCTGCTGGACAATTGTAGCTGATTAGCCTTGAGAGGTGTGAAAACCCTTAAGAGTAATCCGATGCCAGAACATCCTAGTCGAGTTCCAGCTCATCGTCTTGTGGGACGGACAGTCCTGCTCCCCTTCTGGAGCCACAGAGTAAACGCACACTCCATTTCCATGTACAGTAAACGCAAGGCTACTAGAATCGGAGCCAGGCTTACTGATGTGCTGGGTGAATTCTGCTGGCTGTGGGCAGTAGGCATCTCCATAGCAGTAGCATCTGCCTTTCTCGGGTCTTCCAGATTTACTAGTGAGAGGAATAGACAGTCCTGAGTCATTGTACAAGACTCGGGCAATGACTTGAGGAAACCCTGTTCAGATAGAGTCTCCAGACGATTGCTACTGTCCTCCGGTTAGACTGAAAGGGGTTTTTATGCTTTTTTTTGTTTTTGTTTTGTTGAAATCATGGTCCATTCCTCATACCAATGTCTTCCTAAAACAAAACAAAGGGCAAAGGAAGCTCTTGCATCTCCTTGCTCCTTTCGACAGCTAAAGCCTGTTTGAAGACATCAACCGGCACACAAATGCAACAGTTAGAGAATAGAGAAACACACACCAGCTGGTGTTACCACTGGGTGTTGATCAAAGGTTGATGAGAACACCTGTATGAAATGCAGTCATTGTTCTTGTTGAGTGGAAAAAAAACCCTGAGTGGAGCTCTTGCTGGATTTCCTGATACCCCATCGCCAGCCAAAGGTTGCCATGGAGTCTACACAGCCTTGGGCAGCATCCAAAGCAGTACCTGCAGTGCAGCATCAGGGTGGAGCCCCATGGCCTGCTTGGGTGTGGGAGGGAGATAGGCTGTTCTCTGGGCATCAGTCAGCATCTAGAACCATGATCCCCGCTGCTGGTCACACCTCCAACTGTGCATTTCTTTAGAACTGGCTGGGCTGCCATGTGCATTTGCATTTAGAGATGAAAAGAAAAAAAAAACACTTTTCCTTGATCCACAGCATGAGAACTTCAGGAAAAAGCAAATTGAGGAACTGAAAGGACAAGAAGTTAGTCCTAAAGTGTACTTCATGAAGCAGACCATCGGGAACTCCTGTGGCACCATTGGGCTGATCCACGCAGTGGCCAATAATCAAGACAAGCTGGAATTTGGTACTTGTGGCTTCATAATTTGGTCATCAGCTATTTTTTAAGGCTTTTATTGGCATGGGTGTGTGCCACAGCATGCTTATGGGTGTTAGGGTACATACAGCTTTGTGGGATCCCCTCCTGCTTCATAAAGGTTTTGGCAGTGGGGGGAGGCACCACCAAAAAACATCTGATTCTCAGTCACCTGCTGTTTAAACTTGAGACGCGGGGTTCAAAAAGTCTACAATTTAACAGTTAGTTTATTTCAGCAGTGTATAAACATACATGATGGGACAGAACAGAATCTCACTCTGTAACTGGGGCTAGCCTGGCTGGCCATGAACTCAAGGTGATATCCCTCGCCTCAGTTTCCTGCTGGGGCTTACAGGTGCATGCCTCCACACCTGTCCTTAAAGTCGTTTGAAACCTGTTAAGTCGGACTCCTCACCCAGATACAGTCCCATGAATGGAGTCTGCAGTTTCTCTTCTGCGGGGAGGAAACTAATTGTCTAACTTTGGGCTGCCTCCCCTTCCCGTGAGTTTCCTGTGTAGCTTTTTTTCCCCCTCTCCCATTTCTCACGGCTTTGTGGGGGCTTAGGTAAGAAGGAATACGTGAGAGCCAGCTAATGCAGCGATTCTCATATGCACTTTTTTTAATTCTCAAAATTCTAAGGAATTAAAGGTGATAGCCAGAAACTGTGATCAGTAGGGCCTATCCGCCGTGGTTCTGTATCTCCCAGGTGACAGAGGAACCAGAACAGCTGAGAGCCCCTGACACAAGAAGGCACAGCAGGAGGCTGAAACCTTGAACAGCTGAGAGTAAAGTTAGGAGGAGGTCTTCCGCCCTCCTGAGGAAGCTGAATGAGATGTAGGGAGAGAGAGGTCTGAGCCCTTAGGCTTGTGGGAGGAACAAGAGTCAGCCAGAAAATGTTGCATTCACATAGCCGTTGCCCGTGATTTAGGCCCAGAAAGTGCCAGAGTAAAGCTTTTCGGCTTTTGAGAGCTGTGTGGCCTCTGACTTTGTAGCTGAAAACCTGCCATAGCTGTGCTGGAAACAGATGGGCATGGCTGGGGTTGGTGAAAACTACTTATAGAAGGAAATAATAGTAATCTGCCATCTCCTAGTTTTGAATGGCTGCAGAAGCTACTTTTTAAATTGGAGTGCTGGCTTGTCCGTATATGCGGAGGTCAAGAAGTTCTTTTTCAGATATGGACTAGAAAGCTGTATCTTGGCCCTTGTTTCTTCTGTGGAGCCTTATTTACATCTGGAGTCTGTTCCCGGGATCAGGGTGATACTGAAATGTTAGAACCACGGTAGCACCCAGCTCCGCGAGTTCATTGGCCTCGGTCCTTCTCATGGAGTTAGAAGATCCCCATCAATTCCAGGTTTTGATTTTTTTCCAGTGATGGGGATCAAGTCCAGGGCTAGGCAAGTACTGTACTATGGAACCCACCCTCAGGCTCTTCAGATTTTGAAATGATCCCCATTAATGGAGTTTGCTAAATCTAGAGCGGACAGTTGGAGCTGAGGTCATTTGGGATCGTTCTTGTTGTAGCTGGGTCTCCTGACTTACCTCCGCTGAGCAGCAGCAGTGCTGATACCAAAGGCACAGGGCTTCACGTTCCTAAAACCTCTATGCGAATGGCATTCTGTATTCCTTTTGCCATTCTGAAACAAAAATCTGGGGTTTTGGAACTGTTACTAGACTAGAATGTTATCATGTCACTATATACATACATATATATATGTATATATACACTATATATGTATATATACACTATATATACATATATATGTATATATACACACACATATATATATACATACACATATGTATACATACATACATGTATATAAAATAGATGCTCCATTTGAATTGGGAAGTGGCTCAGAATCAGCCACAGACATAGTGAGCTCTGCTTTTAAGGGACTAGGATCTCACAAACACTTGATTCAGGTATATGGGTGCTGTGAGGAAGTGGTGAGATTTGAGACGTGAGTGGGCAGAATTGGGGTGTCAGGGACCAGGTGAAAGAAAGTGTGCATTGGAAGATCGATTGTAGCAGCAAGGATGGTTGGGACACTCTGAAAAGGGGCAGCTATCCACATCCCTGGAGGCCGTGTATAGAGGTGGTTCATAGGGCCAGCTGTGCACAGGTCCAAGTGGACAATACATGTGTGCCCTCTTATATGGTCTAATCTATGCTAATGTGTACGTTTTCTTTTTAAGAGGATGGATCAGTCCTGAAACAGTTTCTTTCTGAAACGGAGAAGATGTCCCCTGAAGACAGAGCGAAGTGCTTTGAGAAGAACGAGGTAGAAAGGGCTCCTGGGGCATCACCTTTAAATAGCTCTGAGGGCTGTGCCCATGCTAACAGCTCTCTCTAATGGCTCTCTCTCCTCTTCTGCAGGCCATTCAGGCAGCCCATGACTCCGTGGCCCAGGAGGGCCAGTGTCGGGTAAATACCAATGCAAGTGCAGACCTGGGCCAGGCTCACCCCACGCACCTTCTCTGTTCCCTGTGGAATATTTACAGGAATCACTTACTGCAGTGCAATGACCAGCAACTGTTGCCTATCAAGGCCAGCTGACCCCAGTTGATCTGTTCCCCTCAAATAGTTTGAGAAATCTACTTGACAGGCAGAATAATTCAGTGGTCCATTCTGTGGTTAGCTTGAAAGAGTCTGTGTTCAGCTCTAGCACCAAAAATTAAATAAGCCATAGTGTGTGAAGAGACCCTCTAAATTCAAATGCAAAGTTTAACTTAGAATCCAGGGCCTGCATTGGCACAGTTGTCTCTTCTGCCTTCTGGATTTGGGCGGGATACCCTTCCTTAGGCCTGATCTCCTTGCCACTAAGAAGCATACAGTGCCAGGCCTGTAGAGCTGCCCCAACCATTCCAGCATCTCTGCCTTAGTAGGTTTAAGTGAAGTCTATTCCACTTGGAGAGTAAGAGAATGCTTTTAATAAGTTCATCTGCTACCTCATTAATCTTTTTTTTTCCCCTTGACTCTTTAGGTAGATGACAAAGTGAATTTCCATTTTATTCTGTTCAACAATGTGGATGGCCACCTCTATGAACTTGGTATGTACCCATCCATTTTGGAACCCAGTAGAATACCCTGTTTGTTCGGGTTTAATCTCTTACAGACGGCGTTGGTATGTGACTCTCTGGCATAACGTATGCAGTGATTTATGAAGCCTTAACTGTGTATTCAACAGCAACATTTAGCCCTCTGTCACACCCAATTGCCCTCCTTGGGCAACTAAAATACCCAGTGAATGGCTTCCGTGACAAGCCAGTGAGGAGGCTAAATCAGATTGGCATCAGTTGTTGGGATTCATGGTACTGCCCCACCCCACTCACTTACAGTGTCCCCTGATGTCATCCATTTCACACAAGGATCGGTGCCTGAATATGACCTTCTGTAATATTACAGCAAATGCTCTGTAAAATGAAGTTGGTAAGAGTGTTGGTTTCAGTCTCTTTACATACCCTGATGGTTCTGAAACGCACTATGTAAACCAGACTAGCCTTGAACTCACAGAGATCAGTCTGCCTCTGCCTTCCAAATGCTGGAATTAAAGGCGTGCACCACCATTCCCAGGCTGTAAAGTGAATTTGGGTCTGTTTGGCATCATTTCTATTTATGGAAATGAAAAGGAATATCCACCTTGTAAAATTCCTCCCTTTTATTTAAGTGGAAAGACTTGCAGCTGTATCATCTCAGCCTTAGACTTCCAAGGGCAAAGGAGACAGGGAAATCAGCAGTCACTAACAGGCAGTTGGAAACCCAGGACACTCTTTCTTATAGGACTGCCTGATGTTGTTTTATCCAAAACATGGGGTTCAGTTCCCCATCTGGATATCTGGGTCAGGCCTGTGTGATCTCAGCTGTATATTAGGATCGTCAGTGACTGTCCAGGAGGGCTCAAACCTCATTGCATCCTGTTGCTTTCAGACAAGGTTTCCCTCATTGGAATGGTTAACACCTTTGGAAGAACCTGAAAATCCTTGTGGGTTGGGCAGCTGCCATAGTCTGAAAGTTTGTAGGGAAAGCTGACATGCCTGGCTTCTTCTTTCTAGATGGGCGAATGCCCTTTCCAGTGAACCATGGCGCCAGTTCAGAGGACTCTCTGCTGCAGGTAATCCCTGGAATGCACCTCCCTCCATTGCAGACAGGCTTCTTCCAGCTACTTCTGTGCATGGTGCTGACATTCAGAATGCCAGCATCACCTGTGTTGGCTAATAGCATTCTTCCGGGGCTTAAAGATCACTTTAGTCATTCTATCTGCCTCGTTTTATGGCAGGTGGTTTTCAGCAGGATCCTTCAAAGAAGGCCTGACTAATCTTTTTCACGTGCCATCTGTAGTTAGAATTGGCTCGAAAGCCATTGCTTGACTCTAGCGTGGGATTAAGGTAGCCATTGTTTCATTGTCGGGTTACACCATCGCTAAAGAGGGGAATATCAGTTTTCTCTACCTTCCCTAATCCTCAAGGCTTCAGGGTATGGGTCAGCCTTACTAGGTATATTTAACAAATTTTAGCTAGGTAAATTATGTAATTTTCTTCCCACGTGGTCTACTGGTATTGGAAAGCAGGGGATTTGGTATCACTTCCATAGAGAGGTGGCTCGACCGTTAAGAGTGTATACCACTCTTGCAGAGGACCCAAGTTCAGTTCCCAATACCTATCCCCCAGGCAGCTCACAACTTAACCACCTATGATTCCGGCTTTAGGACATCCACAAACATGCACAAACCCACACATACTCGTAACTAAAGGGGGCAGGAGAAGATGGCTTAGTATTTGAGATATCTGTTGCACTTGCAGAGGATCTGGGTTTGATTCCTAGCACCATGTGGCGGCTCACAATCATCTCTAACTCCATTTCCAGGGGAATCTGATGCCCTTTTCTTGCCTCTACAGGCACCAGGCATGCAAGTGGTACCTAGACACTTCTACAGGTGTCACACCCATACACTTAAAACATGCAAGTGGTACCCAGACACTTCTACAGGCATCACACCCATACACTTAAAATATTTTTTTAAAAAAAAGAATTAAATCTTTAAGATTCAGGAGGACATAGCACCTGGCCTGCTAGAAGTGAACAGTTCTGAACTGTTCTAGGCTGTCACAGAGGAGTGTTTTAGGATAAAATATAAGACTTTAAATAAAAGGGATGACTTTATTTGTAGTAGCAACAACCTTCGCTCAGCACACAGTGGGGTCAGCAAAGGCTTTCTGCGAGGAATCAGAAAGTACTGGGACTTTGTGTCTTCCGTGGCTCTGTGACAAGTGCCCAGGGCTGCTTCTGAAGGTCTAAGCTCTGCTAGAAGGTACCTAAACGAGCACGTCTGCCAAAGGTTTGCTCACTAAACTGGCAAAAGGCTGGGTTTGGCCTGTAGGCTGCAGTTGCTGGCACCTGGGCTGGGTGATTCCCTTAAGTGAGTTTTGCCTTCTCTTGAGCCCCTTTAATGATGCACGAAGTGAGACTCCTTACCCCCTTCTCCAAAATGGCACAGAAATCAATGCCCAAGCTTTCTGTGATTACAACGGTGGAATGAACCCTGGTTCTTGGCCACTGTACACTGAAGACCCTTTATAGAGGACCAGGCTTTGGAATATCTAAGATTTGGTCACCTCACAGCACTAGTGAACCCAGTCATACCAAACCATCACAAGAACATGCAGTCGTTTGTAATGGGGAAGTGTGAGTTAAAGTCGAGCCTGTGGTATAGAGTCCCAGCACCTGGATCTTTTTCCATTGCCTCCATCCTTTAAAGTCGACGGCCAGGGTAAACTGCTTCACTAGGCTTGGAAACACTCTCCTTGAAGTTCCTGTCTCCAGCAGCTTCTGTACATGTATTAATACCATCCCTCCTTTCCAGGACGCTGCCAAGGTCTGCAGAGAATTCACTGAGCGTGAGCAGGGAGAAGTCCGCTTCTCTGCAGTGGCCCTGTGCAAAGCCGCTTAAGTCCTGGGGGAGAAGGCCAGCCGCTCCCCTTCCCCTGGGCATGCCCGCCCCTCGCAGCCCTGCGATTGATCTGCAGCTTTAGCACTTATAACCACAGCTGTCTTGTGTTCCACAGCCCCGTCACCTCCACCCTTCCCCAGGCCACCAGGGAGCTAGCTCTGTCACAGCCATGCCAGTGTGAACCTCGGAGGTGAAGCGTGCCCCGTGTCCCGTCCCCCCCCCCCCCCCGCTGTGTCTCATACCTTCAGATCTATGGCTCTTTGGGTTTACGTCTGTAAGTTAAGGCTTTGGGTGTGGTTTGTCTGTCCTTAAAAGGGATAATAAAACTTTTCTGCTGGTAAAAGAGTATCAGCTGGTTTTTATGTTCTCATTCATGTCCCCAGCCCCTCAGATTGTTTTGTGATAGACAAATGTCTTCCATCTAATGGCAGGTGAGAAAAGTGCCATAAAATAGTATTGAATCCAGATTTTTTTATTTCTGGCATTTACAGTCCTATACATACCTGTAGAAATTAATTTTTTAAAAGTTCGGTGTAGGCTGGGTGTGGTGACTCAAGCCTGAATTCCTAGCACTAGGCTGAAGCAGGAGGATTGCCACAAGTTTTCAGCCTGGCCTGGTTTATGGAGAGAGACTTAATCTGAAAAACAAAATATGAATAGGTCATTTTGAGAAAAATTTCAGTAAAGCCCACCTGAACTTTTCTGTATCATTGACGTTTTATGTTGGTATCACATCCTGGTAACACTGTTAGCCGAAGTCCCTAGTCTGATATTTCCTTAGTGTGTACTGAATGTCATCTCTCAGTTCAGGGTCACGTGTTAACATGCTCTCTTTGACTATGTCCTTTGCTCCAGCATCCTCTTGTTGGTTTGGATTGATTTGAGCAGGAATGAACAGTTGCAAGTTGCCCCCTGATTTCGGATTTCTTACCCCTTAATAGTGTGTGTGTGTGTGTGTGTGTGTGTGTGTGTGTGTGTGTGTCTGTCTGTCTGTGTGTCTGTGTGTCTGTGTGTCTGTGTGTCTGTGTGTCTGAGGCACAGATGCCACAGTGCACACGTGGAGACCAGAGGACAGCTTTTCAGAAGTCCGTTCTCCTCTTGCCATGTTGGAGGAGGCAGGGTCTCCCTGGTTACTGTTGCTGGGCTGCACACTGAGCTTCCAGCCGATTGCCTCGTCCCCCCCCCCATCTCACTGCAGGAGTGCTGAGATTACAGATTCACACCATTGCATCTGGGTTTTATGTGGGTTCCGGGGATCAAACTCGGCACACTCAGGTTCCTCAGCAGGGGCTTCAGCCGCTGAGTCATCTCTCCGACTCTGATCGGGTGTGTCTAATGTTTCCCTGATGAATTGACTTGGGGGCTTTGGGCTTCCAGAGCACAGTGGTTAAATGCCACTTTTATGGTGCCGTATAAAGAGTACTATCAATTCGACTCATAGTTTCTCCTGTTGGGATCTGTCACCTGGCTGAAGCTGAGAAAAGTCTGTAGGTAAAGAACACTGTTGGAGTGGCCTTGAGGAAGACAGATCACAGCTTAATTAGAATTCTTAAGCCAGGAAGCTTTGCCTCCTGTCAATCATCTGCATCAATAGGGACATATTGGGCACTGTCTCAGGTAGTTCCTATAGCTGACATACTACAGTCAACATCAGCAGTTTTGCTTTTCAGTAGTTCCTTCCTAGGGGCTCATCTTTTAAAAAACATTCCAAGAAAAAACAGACTGAATGTGGGTATTTGTTCTGCAGCTGATTTCACTCTTGTAGTCACAGGAGTCCTGTAGGGTAGGGAGAGCCTTACGCCTCCTGTCCTGATTCCCAGAAGAGTCTTGGCCTCTGGGACAGGAGTCCTGATAACCTGGGTCACAGCTGCCCTCCTGATTTTGGAGTGTGTGTGTTGCTCTACGTTCAACTCAGGGGCTGGTCCTCACTTTGCACTTAGTCTCTTGCTCGCCACTGCTACCTGAGGAGAGCTGGCCCAAGGCATCCTGGAATTGCCTGCTTTTGCCTCCCATTTTGCTGTAAGCATGCTAGGATTGCCCGCATGTGCTGCTGCATCTGGCTCGGTGTGCTGGGCTGGCTAGTTTGATGTCAGCTTGACACAAGCTAGAGTCATTTGGGAAGAAGGAAATCTGAGAAATTTCCATCTGAGAAAATGTCCCCACCAGCCTGGCGTGTGGACAAGCCCATGGCACATTTTTCTTGATCATCAGTGCGGGAGGACCCAACTTTCTGTGGGTGTTACCCCTGGGTTGAACAAGGCTGCAAACAGCACTGCTCTGGGAATTCTCTATCAGTTCCTGCCTCCAGGTTCCTGCCCTGACTTTTTGGGATAATGGACTTCAAGCTGCAAGATGAACCCTTTCCTCTTGAACTTACTTTTGGTCATTGTTAAGATAAAGTTCAAGGGGGACCTTGCATTGGGAACCTTGGCAGGCGAGGGTGACTAGGCAGAGGGACAAACATGCCAAGCAGGTAGAGCTTAGTGAGTTTTATTAGAAATGGAAGGGGGAAGGAAAGAGAAAAGAGGTAATGAGACAGAGGACAGAAGAGAAGAGGAACACAGGAAGTCCTGTCTGCCCCAGTGGAACAGCATGAAAGAGAGCGTGTGGGCGGGGTCTTTTAAAGGGGTCCTTTGCACCTGCGTGCAGACTTCGAAACCATGGAACCCTGGGCTGACCAGGGTACTGCCTGAGTGCATTCTGCCAGGTGACAGGGGCAGGCCAGCGTAATGCCTGAATCCTTACAGTCATACTGTTGTATCATCATTAATAGAAACCAAGACACGTGGGTTCTGAATTGCACCCTCATGCTTAAGTGGCAAACACTATCCACTGTGCCATCTTAGCCTGCTTGTTTTGTTTTTGAGACAGGGTTTCTCTATATAGCATTGGCTGTCCTGGAACTCGCTCTGTAGACCAGGCTAGCCTTGAACTCAGAGACCTCTGCCTCCTGAGTGCTGGGAGCAAAGGCGTGTGCTACCGCTGTCTGACAACCCCGGTATGTTTTGAGGCAGAGTCTCCTGTAGCTCAGGTCTGTACTCCTGGTCCTCCTGCCTCCATCTCCTCAAGAGCTGAGATTATGGCGTGTAGCACCACATTGTTAATGCTGGGCCGAGGGTCAAACCCAGGGATTCGCTGCTGCTGGATGAGCAATCTGTCAACTGAGCTGCAGCCATAGCCCTTCCCGGGTTTTTACCTTCTATGATGACAGCACTTTCAGATTCCTTATTTTGGGGCCAGCAGGATGCTTTAACAGGTAAAGGCACTTGCCAAGCCTGACAATGGAGTTTAATTTCCAGGACCCACGAGGGGGAAGGAGATAACCAAGCCCACAGGTTTCCCTCTGACCTCCAGTGTGCATTGACATGCGTGGCACACACAGACACTGAAGTGCGTCTTAGTTTTCACCTGAAATGATTACATATTTTCAGAGGATACTGTGATAACTGATGTATGTAGATAACCTGAAAGCATCAAATCAGGGCAATTAGCATTTCTGTCTCCTTAAACATTAATTGTCCTGGAAAACCTTCGAACTGCTTTGTAAAATATGTAAGGTGTAAAGTGTGATTCCCCCTGCCTCCTGGAACACTGGATGGAACTCCCCACCTCCCTCCACCAACCATTTACCACCTCCTGCCCTCTAGTGGCGACTCTCCTCAGTTGTCATGAGGTCAACGTTCATCCTAGCTTCCAGCAAGAGCATGTTACAGCTGTCTGTCCCTGGCTTACTTCACATATCATGGTGGGATCCATTCCTCCCCAGGTTGCTATAAACAATAGGATTTTATTCTTTCTTGTGGTCAAACAATATTCCATTGTGTGTACACAACACGTTTACATCTGCTGGCATCTTTGGAGTGTAAGCTACCTCTATTCCTCAGCATGAAGTGGTCACATCCGCGAGCCTTCTATTAATGTAAAAACTAAAATACAGCTGTCTCATTTCCTTTCCTGTTGTTGGGATAAAATAGCCTGATGGAAGCAGTTAAGGGGGAAGGGAGGCATTCTGGGTCGTAGTTCGAGGTACATCATGCTGGGGAAGTCAAGGCAGCCGGAGCTTGACGTAGCTGCTCACGTCACACCCACAGTCAAGAAACAGAGCAGGGAGAGTGTTGGGGCCCAGCTGGCGTTCTCTGCTTGTGCTACCCAGTATCCCCTTCCCAGGGGGTCCCTGCTTCCCAGTCAGCAAGGTCTTCCCAGTCATTTAACTCAGCCGTGATAGTCCCCAGAGGCATGCCCAGAGGGCCATTTCCCAGGTAACTGCCAAGCTGACAGTACTAATCCACAAGGACAGACACTCAAAATGATTCTAACTGCATGGGTCTGGAGCTAAAGGGATGTGTTTTAAGTTTTCATTTGAGTTAGGGACAGACCATTGATGCTAAGTTGACTGAACTTGGCCTTGACTTGTCTTCTGTCTCAGTCACTGAACAAATAAATTATCCCCTACCACGTCCTCATTAGACACTGAGAGATCAGGACTAGTGCTAGGATGAAGCTCAAAACCTTGGATTTAATCTTCAACATCAAAATAATAAGTAAACCATATTTAAAAACTGGTGAAGATGTATATGGAAGACTTGTGTTCTAGTGCCACAGGAGAGTCAGATACACAGAACTGTCCATGTTGAATTCCATGGGAAGGCAGATCCCTCTGGTATGGTACGACTCAGAGGACTTGATTTCTCCAACAAGCCCGCTGGTTGGCATCTTGGATTTATCAGCTTATTCCCTTAATTCATTTCTTCTTAAAGTTGCACTGCTGGTCTTAGGTGATGGAGGGAACTTCATAAGGTTTTAGAGCTGACAAAGGCATCTGGTGTTAAAATATCCTTTTTAAACAAATGACCCTCATGTCTAACTGGGTCCTTTGAGATTATACACTCCTAGGTGCCTGGGCTGACTGAACACCCACAGGCATGGATAAATGTTCGCAAGGAACCCATGAGCCAGCTGGCTAAAATGTGCATGCATACGTCCTAAGTACGGGTGAAGTGGTGAAGTGTTGTCTCCACTCTGGGTGCTACTCATTTGACGGCATTGTGTGGTCCTCTTTTTTTTTTTTTTTTTTTTTTTTCAAGACAGGGTTTCTCTGTATTGTTTCGGAGGCTGTCCCGGAACTCACTCTGTAGACCAGACTGGCCTCGAACTCACAGAGATCCACCTGCCTCTGCCTCCCGAGTGCTGGGATTAAAGGCGTGCACCACCAGCGCCTGGCTTGTGTGGTCCTCTTGTCGTTCCTGTTTTTCACTGCGCAGCTCCAGCAGCTTGTCCAAGGTTACTTGCTTGATAAATGACATCCCTGACATTCAAACCAAAGCAGACAGAAACACATAGTAA